AGGCCATCAGTGTATTCCTACAACACTGCTCAGACATTCCTATTTTGATGCAGTGTGGGGAAGCAGCTTACCACAGTGTTGCTACAGAGACTGAGAATTACAGCTTGCTTCCATACGAAAACTTCATCACCTTATGTAATCAGAAACCAGCAACAAAAAGGAGTTTCTGATAACTGAGTTTCTATTACAGAAGAAACATTTTGTTGAGTTCTGCACATTATTTCAGATTGAGGAATAACTTCCTTCTTTAGGTCAAGGTCACTGGAAAAGGTAAGATAAAAGTGTTTCTTTCTTTCTTTTTTTTTTTTTTTTAAAGATTTATTCACTTGTTAGAGAGAGAGAGCCAGGTGGGGGAAGGGGCAGAGGGAGAGAGAGAGAATCTCAAGCAGACTCTCTGCTGAGCACGGAGCCCAGCACAGGTCTCAATCCCAGGACCCCAAGATCATGACCCAAGCCAAAACCAAGAGTCAGACACTCAACTGACTGATCCACCCAGGCACCCCAGGAAGTGTTTCTTATACAGGTTCTTCCAGGAGTAGATGAAACCCACATACTAGCAGGTTCTACATGGCCATGTGAAAGGATGTCTGAAGGAGAACATGAATATAACACAGGTTTTATCATCATTATTAAAGAAATTGCTAGCCCCTGTGACCATTCATGACTTGTTGGGGTGCTTAGTAAGTCAGACAGGTTCAGTCTGGGCTCAGTAGCCAAAGGTAGCCTAAGTAGATATAATCAACCAGACAAAGGATATTCACAGAAAGATGAATCTGGAGAACAGATCAGCATATCACTTGGTCTTACTGATTCCCATGCATACCTGGCTCATTCTCATTCTTTTGCTTTGTGTATTTACTTATCCTGTTTACCCTGTCATCAAGGTCTTCTCTATTTTTTTGAAGTCCCAATCTTCCTTGAAGACATGGTCATGAAGCTCTCTTTGACAGATTTTCTTCTCTTAAACCTCCTTGTATGTAGTTGGCATTTCTTTTTAGCATTTGTTTTTCCTCAGGCACTCAGTAGTCCCATGAGGATTTATGGATTTTGAAAATAGTCATATGTAGGTTTCTGAGCCTTCCTGGTGGATGTATTAAAGATGATAGGTTTGGAGAAACACCATCTCTTAGATTTTGAAAGAAAATGACCTTTGGTACTCTGAAGGAGGCAGTTAATTGGAAATTCCAACTGCCTACCCTTTAGATTTTCTAAGCCTGCTTCTGCACTTGGTAGCAGCTGATTGGCTGTTCCCAAAGTTAGTGGACTACTAAACCAGTAAACTGAAAACTCAGACCTGGGTCGTCTTTCTCAGCTTGGATGGAAGAAACTTGGGAAAATACAAAAAAGAAAAGTGCAACTAGTCGGTCATCCTATTAGGAGGCAGTCACAGTAAGAAATATTAAAATAAAGGCCCTACTCTAGTACATATTGATAATGTAATCACTATTCTATAACAGAGTGACTAAAAATGAATCAGATGGTAGAAAATGTAGGTTCCTTCTTTAGGACAATTCTCAATATTTTTTGCTAGAGAATAGAAAATACCCAGATATGTGACTTACACTTGGCCATTATATAAAATTCATAATAATTAAATGGGATTGGTAACTGGAGGTAATTTTACTGCTTAACAGAGTGAGTAAGGAGTGGGATGAGGATAAAGAAGTTGCTTCAGTATATCAAGACATGGATTCAGAGCTAGTATTTATTAATTGCTTAGTCTATGTAAAGCAGCTGTTAAACGTGTAAAGTTTATTACTCATTCAGTTCTCACAACAACGCTGTGAAGTAGCTATTATCCCTATTTTACTGAATTGAAAAGGTTAAGTAACTTTCCAAAGATCAGACATCCCAATGGGCAGAGCCGATCTTAGGCCAAAGTCAGTGATTTTTCTTTAACCAGGAGATGGTTGGTTGTTGAAAGAAGGTAGTATGAAATTGAGCAAATTTGTAATACTGAAGAAGGGGAAAAGGAGATGAATGAATGTATGGAACAGAATTATGGTGCATACAGTTAGTAGTTTTGGTGAGAGATCAAATCTAATCATGTCCTTCATTGCTTTGTGTTTTTAAATTTTCATTTTGTGGCATCCGTGTATGCTGACTAAATATTTTAAATCAGGAGATCTTGGTTCTAAGTCTGACTCTGTTACTAGCTAGTAATGGACTTTATTTTTTTTTTTTAAAGATTTTATTTATTTATTTGAGAGAGAGAATGAGAGACAGAGAGCACGACAGGGAGGAGGGTCAGAGGGAGAAGCAGACTCCCTGCCGAGCAGGGAGCCCGATGCGGGACTCGATCCTGGGACTCCAGGATCATGACCTGAGCCAAAGGCAGTTGCCTAACCAACTGAGCCACCCAGGCGCCCAGTAATGGACTTTAGACATGTAACTTTGGGTCTCATATATTAATTCTAAAGTACTTTCCATGTCTAAATTAAAAAAGAATGAATATGGGCTGAATTACTAGAACAAGAGAGTGTGTAACTACTAGCAAATCCACAGAGAGCACAAAGGTCCTTCCTTAGCTGTCTCTCCCTCCAATTATGCTCTCTCAGGTTTCCTGCCCTTAATGAAAGCACTTAAAAGCCTTTTAAAGTAGGTTTTCAGTTCTTTGGTCAAAGATAGATACAACCAAATCCACTCAAATGAAATGAGAGATATTTTATATTTATTCGAGAGAACTGAATTGGAACAGCTCTGAGGATAACGTAATAATAGATCATCCATCCTGGAGCCCAGGAGCATAATACATTTCAATCCGTTTTTTAGGGAGGAGAAAAACTGATAGGTTCTTATAATGGTGTTATGTCATTTAATGTGAATGTTTAGCAAAATACTACAAGATTTTCCTGGCAAAGGCACTATTTTCAAAGTTTGACTGTGATGACTTCTCCATTTAATGTTAAATTCATTCTTGCACCAAAAATATAATTGAGCATAGCACCATGCTGTGCTCAATTTTGCTATACTTTTATTTTGTCTTACCTTGTGAAAACAAACTGTTTTCTCAGGTGACCAAAAAAGAGCACTTAAAAAAAAAGAACAAACAAAAAAACCCCACAATTCTTCCCTGACCATGTGATAAAGATGACGAATTTAAAAATCCAGTGAATGTTTGAACTTTATATTGTTGGTTAAATGTATTGAATCAAGCAAACCAATTTTGAGGGAGGAATAACATCAGTTAAATATAATTTACTCAGCCGTTGTCAGGAACCTGCAGGATCTCGATTATGCTTTACCTACATCTGGCAAGTCAGTCTGTTACTGTTTCTTGGATGCTGGCAAAAGATACAAGACTCCTAGGTCAGAGACAAAAGACTTAATCACTCACAGCAAAAGCAGTAGCCAGAGTGTCAGCGTGCTGCTCACTCCAGTTCCCCATGCCCCCCTCCCCCCGCAGTGCCATGGAGCAGATATCCATCACTGGAAGCTGCATTAGCTTACTAGGGCTGCAGTAACAAAATATGGCAGGCTGGGTGGCTTAAACAACAGAAGTTATTGACTCACACTCCTGGACACTTAAAAGTCTGAGTTCAAGGTGTTAGCAGGGTTGGTTCCTTCTGAGGGCCAAGAAGGAAGGATCCATTCCAGGCCTCTCTCCTTTGTCATTTTCTCCCTGTGTCTTCACATCGTCTCCCCTTTGCACATGTCTGTGCCCAAATTTCCTTTTCTTATAAGGACGCCAGTCACATTGGATCAGGGCCCACCCTAATGATTTCATTTTAATCACTTTTGTAAAGACCGTATCTCCAAATATGACCACATTCTGAGTACTGGGGGTTAGGGCTTCAACAGATGAATTTTTAGGGGGACACATTTCAGCCTGTCAAAGAGGCTTGCTTACACACATAGTGGGGTGCATTATAGGAGAACTCTGAGCTTGGGAGATTCACCATGGGAACAAGCCTGCTCTTGTCCAAGGGGGATGTTACCTCATCCCTCAAAGTTTCTTTTTTTCTTCTTTTTTTAATTTAATTTTTTAAAAGATTTTATTTATTTATTTGACAGAGAGAGACACAGCGAGAGAGGGAACACAAGCAGGGGGAGTGGGAGAGGGAGAAGCTGGCTTCCCGCCGAGCAGGGAGCCCGACGCGGGGCTCGATCCCAGGACCCTGGGATCATGACCTGAGCCGAAGGCAGACACCTAACGACTGAGCCACCCAGGCACCCCATCCCTCAAGGTTTCTTGCCACAAACACAAATCTTAAAAAAGGCCTGGGTAAAGAGTGTCCAGGGCTTTGCATGCTTGGCACACAGGAAGAACATGCAGGGATGCTCAGGATCCATGTGGATTATCTCTCTCAAAAGCAGTGCAGTCAAAATATCAGATCAAGGTACAGCTCTACCATCCTCAGTCTTTATCAAGTCAGGCTCTGTTTCACACAGCTATAAAATTGATTACACCTCCCAACAGTTATCTACATTGAAGAAAAACCAGAGCCACCACTCTTTAGTTTGAATAATGATATTTATAAATATCTTTAATACCAACTAGGAAGTAAATGTAGAGCTTAGTCAACTGTTACATTATTTACTTTGTCACAAAAAGAAATATATTTTTTTTTAAAGATTTTATTTATTTGAGAGAGAGAATGAGAGAGAGCACATGAGAGGGGTTAGGGTCAGAGGGAGAAGCAGACTCCCTGCCGAGCAGGGAGCCCGATG